AAATCAATCCTGCACCGCAATAAACATTTTAATGTTTTCACATTAAAACATTTCACACATTAAACATTTCACACATGTCTGCACCTGACCTGTTTAGATCTTAATTGCTGGTATTTTTATATTCTCTGTTATTTTTTTTTATATATTCTCTGTTTTATATATATATATATATATATATATATATATATATATATATATATATATATATATATATATATATTGTGTGATTCCTTGTGTATATTCCTTTGTACTGAAACTCTGACACAACAATTTCCTGCGAGATCAATAAATGTCTGTCTTATCTTATCTTATCTTATCTTATCTTAAAGGTTAAATGAATTCAACCAACAGAGACCTGTGGCAAAGCTTTAAGGCCCAATTTCAAGGTTGCTAGAACTAAATCTTGGTCGTTCCATGATATATTCTTACTCTGGCTAGGTTTGCACTCTGCTACTACTGCTACTATTAAATCTGTTGGCTTTAAGGACATAGTGAATAGGATGTGTTTGGAGCGTGCTATGTAACTTTCCTACTCAGCTTCTGCTGTTGGTATTTTTTGGTTATCACAAATGCTTAGAACTTGAAAAATTCAACTACTCAGTCCCTTGTAGTTGGTTTGACTAAGACCATGTTTTCCTACTACGTATTTCTTTCCAGCTGTCATAAGCATCAGGACCAATTTTGGCATTCCAGTTACTACTGATCATGACTACATCCTGCTTTGGACTTCCCTTAACTATTCTTCCCAGAGTATTGTAGATCTCATTAGTTTGTTCCTAAAGATTTTCAGATGTAGGAACATAGACTTGAATCAGAGTGAGGTTGAAAGGCCTAACATTTATGTGTAATGACATGAATCTATCTGATATACACTGGTATTCAAGGATAGTTGTGTAAGTATCTTTGTGAATCATAAAAGCTACTTCATTTCTACAACCTGTTTATTAACCATTGAAGACAACTTTATGGTTGTGCTCAATAACTATTTTGCCTTAGCCAAGTAATCTGGCTTCTGACAATCCAATTACCATCCATCCATTATCTTCTGCTTGTTCTGAAGTCGGGTCGCGGGGGCAGCAGCTTGAGCAGGGAGGCTAAATTAAGCAGATCCAAGGCATGCTTATTAATTAAGGGAATGCATCTTTAAATAGCCTGGTTGGGATGGGGTCTAGCAGACATGTGGATGGTTTGGATGAAGCAATTATTTTTGACAATTCAGAGCTCAAACAGGACAAAGACAGTCTAAGCATAAATCAGGTTCTAGTGACATTTTTAAAGTTGTCTCATCTGACACAGAACCAGAGGTAATACTAGTAATGTTGGTTTGAATTTTTTCCCTAATTGAAACAATTTTGTTTATAAAGAATCTCATGAAGTCATCACTGTTTATAGTTGTAGGGATACATGAATCAACAGAGATAGAATTTTTCATTAGACTAGATATGGTACTAAAAGGAAACTGTGGTTATTACTTGGCTGTGAACTGCTCCAGTGAGAGGTGAATACCATGGCACAATGATGCTAACAGGACCACATCATCTGCAAAGAGCAGATATAGAATCCTGAGGCCACCGAACCGGAATCCCTCCGCCCCCTGGCTGCACTGAGAAATTCTGTCCATAAAAATTATGAACAGTATCGGTGACAGTTGGCAGCCCTGGCAAAGTCCAACTCCCACCCTGAAGGGGTTCGACTTACTACCGGCAATACGAACCAAACTCTTGCACCGCTTGTATAGAGACCGAACTGCCCGTAACAACGGCCCCCCAATCCCAAACTCACAGAGCACCCCTCACAGTGTACCCCGAGGAACATGGTCAAATGCCTTCACCAATTCCACAAAACACATGTAGACTGGATAGGCAAATTCCCATGACCCCTAGAGGACCCTAAGTGAGGATAAAGAGCTGGTCCAGTGTTCCATGACCAGGACAGAACCCACATTGTTCCTTCTGGATCTGAGATTTGACCAACTATCAAACTAGCTTCTCCAGTACCCCTGAATAGATCTTACCAGGGAGGAAAAGGAGAGTGATGCCCCTATAATTGGAGCACATCCTCCAGTCCCTCTTTTTGATAGAGGGGAACCACCACCCCACTCTGCCAATCCAGTGGCACTGCCTCTGATGTACAAACAATGTTGCAAAGGTGTGTCAACCAAGACAGCCCCACAACATCCAGAGCTTTTATGAAATCAGGGCGAATCTCATCCACCCTCGTAGCCCTCTCACCGAACTTTTTACCTACCTCGGCGACCTCAGCCATGATTATGGACAGACCAACCCCAAAGTCCCCTGACTCTGCTTCCTCCATAGACAACGTGCCAGTGGGGTTGAGAAGGTCTGAGAAGTATTCCTTCCACCTCCCGACGACTTCACTGGTTGAGGTCAACAGCACTCCACTTGCACTGAACACAGTGTTAATAAAGTGCTGCTTTCCCCTCCACATCTGCCTGATGGTTTGTCAGAATCTCCTCAGAGCTGACCAAGAGTCATTATCCAGGGTCTCACTGAACTCCTCCCACATCCAAGATTTTGCCTCAGCAACAGCCAAGGCTGTGGACCGCTTGGCCCTCTGGTACTCCTCAGCTGCCTCCTGAGTCCTACCAGCCAACAAGTACCATTAGGACTCCTTCTTCAGCTTGACATGGTGTTCGTGATGGACAAACTATGACTAGCACAGAAGTCAAATAACAGAACACCACTCAGGTTCAGATCAGAGAAGCCGTTCCTCCCAATCATGCCCCTCCAGGTCACACTGTCAATACCCACGTGGGCATTGAAGTCCCCCAGAAGAATAATGGAGTCCCCAGTGCACCTTCCAACACACCCGCAAAGTACTCCAAGAAGGTCAGATACTCTGAACTGCCGTTCGGTGCATAGGCACAAACAACAGTTAGAAACCATCCCCCCCGCCCAAAGGCGCAGGGAAGCTACACGCTCATCTACCGGGGAAAACTCCAACACACAGGCACCAAGTCGGGAGGCTAAGAGTGTACCCACACCAGCTCGGTGCCTCTCACCATGGGCAACTCCAGAGTTGAATAAGGTCCAGCCCCTCTCAAGGAGATCGGTTCCAGAGCCCATGCTGTGAGTTGAGGTGAGCCCAACTATATCTAGTCAGTACCTCTAAACCTCAAGCACAAGCTAAGGCCACTTACCCACCAGAGAGGTCACGTTCCATGTCCCAAGAGCCAGCTTTGGTAAGCCACGGTCAGAGCACCAAGGTACCCACTTTTAGCCACTTCCCATGGATTCATGCAAACAACTGATATGGTCCCTCCTGCAGGTGGTGGGCTCACAGGAAGGCAAACCCATGTTTCTCATTCGGGCTGAATGCAATCATATTATGTTCCATGAATTTTGTTTTAGTTCATGCTCCAGTTCCTCTAATTTCCCTGCTGCTGCAACAGATTGTTTTACCAGTAGCATACTTGTCACCTTCATCCTGGCTGCAGACTTTGTTGACCGGGGCCCCATCCGACCCTGAACAGGTATTACTGGTTTACAGGATTACTAGTAGCAGTCATGACTGACTGACCTGAATTCACACTATATACAGCACTTTTTATATTCACAGTGATAAGCATAATGGTGAGTAGTGGGTGTACAGTCTCTTGCCCAAGGACACTTTGGCCACACTGCAGGTAATGAGGATCAAACCCTCAAAACTTTGATCAGTGGATGACCACTCTACTGACCAAAGCTGACCCAAAAATTTCGACACTTTTTCTTTTATCAGTTTTTTAATTTTTACACAATTACAGTTTTTAAGTTTTACATTTTTGAACGTGTTACTACTTGTTAAACTTAGTGTAGTGAAGCACACACTTTAAATTATGAGCTGTCTAAATTTTTAAGAAATTGTTATTTTCAGGGGCAGCAAGGTGGCCACAACTGGTAGAGCTGCTGCCTCTCAGCAGGAAGATTGCCGGTTCAAATCCCGGTCCTGGGGCCTTTCTGGGTGGAGTTTGCATGTTCTCTCTGTGCATGCGTGGGTTTTCTCCGGGTACTCCGGTTTCCTCCCACAGACCAAAAACATGCATGTTAGGCTGGTTGGTAACTCTAAATGGTCCCTAGGTGTGAGTGAGAGAGTGAATGGTTGTTTGTCTTGTTTGTCTCTATGTGGCCCTGTGATGGGCTTGCGACCTGTCCAGGGTGTACCCCGCCCCTCGCACTGTGATTTCTGGACATGGGCACCAGTGGCCCCCGTGACCCAAAATGGAAGAAGTGGGTAAAAGATAATGGATGGATGTTATTTTCTGTCTGTACAGTTCTTACACAGTTTATGCTTCATAAATGCTTCCTAGGCATTTCAATCTTCATTCATTGAGTATGTCTCTTACTGCTATAGGACCGATAGATTTCTCTCAAACATGACCAGCGTGCACATTTCAAAACTCTTACTTAATTCCATTGCATCTAATCTCAGAATTTTCGTGTCAAAACTGGAATTAAGGGATAGTTTTAACTTTTATTTCTACATAAAACACTGTCGACACATAAAAGTTTACATGTGACAACCAGATGCTTATGACACGTAGTGTTGAAAATTTTTGTCAGTACACCAGGAAGTCTTTGCTCTTTAAGCACTTTTGAATGGATGTGACAACCATGATCTAATCGGATTAGTTTTTGATGCTTTGACATGTCATAACATACTGTAAATTTTGGCTTTGTTTTAGGAAGTACACGGTTTCAGCTTCTCAGTCCAGGATCTAGTCTTTTTAGCTACTGATCCTAGGATTTTTTGGTTTTATTATTCAAATCTGAAACTCAAACTAAAAGTTTTGACTTAAGAGAGTTCCTAGAATGAGAACTATGCTGGAATCCAAAAATGAGTCTAGCTACAGTACCTTCTGTTCAGCTTGACATACAAGTTTCTGCCACTATTTCTTGTGACACTAATATCTCCAGGTAGTATAGTAGGATCACTTGTGATGGTATGAAAATCCTTTTCTGTATAACCAACTGTAAATATTTGTCTTTCTTTACTTACAGAGTTGGATACACGTCTGTGTCCGTTTCCTGCTGTTCATCACGCTTGGGGTGCATTCAGCTACACTTGAAGTTACCGCAGTGACTGATGACACTCATGTATTACTTCCTACTTTGGTAAGCTTTAAACTTAAACACTAAATACATTAAGTCAAGTGTAGTACCAGCAAGTATAAGCCAAACTGATCTACCATTGCATGATTAGTAAGAAATCAATAGTGAGAGTGATCGTGTGTGCGTTTGTCTGTTATCAAAATGTCTCATGAACCAGTGGATGGATTTCAATCAAATTCTAAGACAATAAATCATTGAATGCAACTCTTGGAGTCAAACCAGAGCAAGACGACCTCCACAGCTACCTGACCTTAGTAAACACTAAAATACTTATGTTTCAAATAAGAACCTCTTAGAATGTTACTTTCATTTTATTGTGTGACAGTTGTTTTCAGTTCATGGCATGTCTAAACTGCAGTCAGGTCAGTCACATTAGGACTTGAACTTTTTCACCGTCATATTGTCCTGATGCATGCTCAATAATCCAGGTAGATGAATCTAACAAGGTTGAGTCTGGTCCTCTGGACAGATTCTTCTTTGTTGAACAAAGAGAATCTGTCCAGAGGACCAGACTCAACCTTGTTAGACCAAGTCATATGGTTGGGATATGTGAAGAATGTGGATTGCATGAATGATGATTTTGCAACTCTTCCTTGTTCGTAAAAACATGACGGTCTCCTTAAGCAACAAGGATGCGTTTCTCAGCATTTCCTTAAACAATCTCTGATTTTGATTTTGACATACTACTGAAACTCTTCCATTTAGCCTCAGTTCTTCTTAATTGACCCCAGGCACAAAGATGCTTGCAATGCTGCTTGTCTTTGTTTTTTATTGGTCAGTTCATGTGCATTGAAATACTGTAAGTCCATCTAATGCAACTTTCTTGTTTTTTTTTTTTTTTTACAGAAACAAAATATTCCAAAAGATTACAAAATTCCTGTACTTTACATTCCAAAAGAAGTGGTAAGGCAACATTTTATCTACCAATATCAAGTTTTGCATTGTGTTGTTTTGTAGGTTCACTTCAGATTAAATTCAATTGGATTTTACAACTATCATCTTTTTGTACCAAAATAAATCCTTCACGTGTACTTTTTGGTCTAAAATTTTAAATGAATCTGATGATAATGGTAGACCTTTGCTTTCCTACATTTTATAACAAAATATAAGTACAGCCATAACATTATGATCGCTGACAGGTGAAGTAACACTCTCATATTCTGATGTTTCGCTGTGCTTGTAAATTATGGCTTTATGGCATTAGCATGACTGTTACTTTGACACTTGCCTCAAATCAAAACACCAATGCAGACCAACCACCCAACCCGCATGGCAACCCCCGCACCACCACACCCCACCACCACCATTACCCCAACAACCAGGAGGACAATGATGGGCCCTTTCAAAACTATTACAGTGAAGCTTAAAAGAAGCAACCAAAAGTTGCAATTCCATCCTGCCTCTAAATGATCTACACTCTATTGGCATCTATTGAAGCAAGTCTAATCCTAAAAAGACACCAGCCTACCATCCACAATCCAGGATACTTACAGGTGGTATTTGCACAAATCCTGACTGATCACAATTATGATGGTGGTAACATCAAAACTTCATGCTGGATATCAAGCAGGGGGTCATAATGTTATGGCGAAACAGTGCAGAGTGTACTGTGTGTATGTGACTAAGAGTACAACTTTAATAGACATTCACTGTCATGAAAGTTTTCTTATATACATCCTGATGCATGCGCAATAATCTTGTTAGATTTTCTTATAGACATTCTGGTAATTATAATCTGCAATGAATTGTGTGTAATCTATTGGTACATAGAGTTTGTTTTTGTTTTTTTCTTCTAGGCTGGGATGTGTTGGGTGAAATTAAATATTTTCAACTTGGAGCAGAGTTTACAAAACTTAGCCAATAAGTTTGGAAACATTTCAGCTAATAAAGATCATATTAATTTAGTCATCCAATATCTTCATGACGTGAGAATAAAAATCAGCAACGACTTGGATGAGGTAAGCTAATATAATCTGAGTTCTTCATCATATTCTTTAACATACCAGAAGAGAAGCTATTGTTTTACACAATCTATGAAGACACTGTTATCATTTATTTGGGATTTATGTTGAAAATTCTCACTTTATTAGTTTAAAAATGCAACTGGACCATTTATGGAACAATTTTCAACTTACCTGCACAAAGAGATCACTCTTTAACTGTGCTGCTTTTTACAGGAAATGATTGATTTTGAGTGTCACTACAGCAAAGAGAGTTGGGCAACAGCGCAATACTTTGAGTTTGTCAAAGAACTCTACAGAGCTGCACATTATGAAGACTTTTCATATGAATGTGATCCTCCTCCGTGTCCCAGCACACCACCAACAGGTGAATCATCCTGTCTAAACTTTTTGACATGTGTGAAAGTTATTACATTGTAGCTACTTATTCTGCAGAAAAAGTATCAAAAGTTAAATGTTTAATATGACATCAGTGAAGTCCACCAGGTTAGCGCGTGTGTTAGCATGTATCTGTATAGAACTATTAGTCCTTTACATAATGGAAGCAAATATAAAGTAAAAGTATTGGTCCAAGCACTGAACCCTGAGGAACTCCATGACTAACTTTTGGTGTATGATGAAGGTTCATTTTTAACATGTACAAAGTGGAATATATCAGATAAATATGATTTAAACCAATTTAGAGCCATTCCTGTAATCCCAATATCATATTCAAGCCTCTGTAGTAGAATATTGTGATCAGCTGTATCAAATGCAGCACTGAGGTCTAACAGGACGACACCTGTCCATTGCCTGAGGCCATGAGAATATCATTAGTAACTTTCACCAGTGCAGTTTCAGTGCTACGATGAGCTCTGAACCCTGACTGAAACTCCTCAGATTATTTCTGTTCAGATGTTCATGCAACTGACCTGCAACTGTTTTCTCTAGAATTTTTTAGATGACTGTTAGATATACGGCGGCTGTGGCTGAGTGGTTAGAGCAGTCATCCTCCCAATGCAAGAGTTGGGGGTTCGAATCCACCAGCAGTCACATGCCGAAGTGTCCCTGGGCAAGACACTGAACCCCTCATTGCCTCCGATGTGTGTCCCATCAGTGTATGAATGTGACCTCAAAGCACTGATTAGTCTCTTTAGAATGATTTGTTCCAGTAGCTTTGTAGAGTTTTAGTAAAGTGCTGTATGAATGGATAAATGAGGGCACAGATTGTAGTGTAAAGCGCTTTGAGTATCTGGATAAGATAGAAAGGCGCTATATAAGAACAGCTTCTTGTTAAATTTTGAAGAAACGTGCAGCGTTCTTCATTCCCTTCCCCCCCCATGTCTGCACGCTCCCGGGAGCACCGAGGCAGCAAATACTTTTGAAATGCAGCTGACTTGACCATTAAAGTGCATTTATTAAGCAAACGTTAGACTGAGACACACCTTTACTATAATTTTGAGCAAACAAATAATTGTTTTTAGGTGTTTACCTTGTTAAATTTAGAAGAAATGAACATTAGCTCGTCCCTCTGAGTGTGCCCACTTCCGTGAGTCGGGTTTTGAAATGCAGCTGATTTGACCGTCAAAGTGCATTTATTAAGCAAAAGTTAGACTGAGACACACCTTTACTATAATTTTGAGCAAACAAATAATTGTTTTTAAGTGTTAATCTTGTTAAATTCTTGTTAAAGTCCTCGCGTGCACGCCCCAGCGGCCGCCATTTGGTAACCAATCGATTTTTGGCCCAACACCGGCCACATTTCCGTGTTGTCAGCGGTGACGTGTAACAAACACGATGCGTCAGCAGTGACACATAATAGATGCAATGGATTTATGGATTTTTCCACTTTATTAGACATATTTGGACTGATGCAACTTATAGGGCGGAACGACGTTTACGGTGGAAAATACGGTATTTGTTGGTAACGGTTAGGTTTAGAGTAAGGGTCAGGGTTAGGGCTACAGAAATGAATGGAAAAAAAATAAGACTGTTGTAGTTTTGGTGCCACAAATCCTATTTATTTGAAATTATTTCTATGAAAGGAAATTAAATTACAAACTTGGGTGCATGAAATCTCCAGCAAACGTTTTTTTGTAATTCAGAGGAGCTTTTGGTTTCTTTAAAGTTGACGCTGACTTTTTTGAGTTCATTGAAAGTCGTCTCTAATTCCTAACCAGAAACATTCCAGCCTCGTGCTCACTGCTGCTCGTTGAACTACCGCCACCTTCAATGGGCCATTGTAAACAAGCTATTTGGGATAGATCTCCTGTGGCTGTTTAGAGGAGCTTTCAATCTGGAACCATTATTTCTATATGAGAACTTTGCTAAATAAAAACTATAACTGGTTTCAGTGCTGTCCACTGAGACACAGCTGAGTCACAGTTATAAGGGAGGACGTCCCATGGTAGTGCATGTTAAAAGGAAGAAAAGGACTGAAACCTGATTGTGAACGTGTTGATTACAGAGCAATCTTCCAATCTTCCCAAGCGCTTTTCTTTTCTCTGCCATATTAGGATCAGGTCTTTTGTTTGTATTAGAGGGAGTCTAGAAGCCGTGGCATTGAAATGCCTTTTAACACCTGACAATGAATGTTTTCATCATCAGACAGTGATTTTCCCGTCTGTCTCTTTTTTGTTTTCTCATTTCATCGTTGCCTCCTCCAAGACCTGGACAACCTTCCATCTGAGTCAACCACTCCCTTGGAACCACCTGCTAACAAGAGTAAAAGCTCTTTACAAACAACTAAATGTTTTCCAATAGACTGCCCGTCATGTAAGTTTGCAATTTTCTATTTACAGTACCTCTGAAAATTTAATCTCACTATTAACAGACAAGTGAGAAAAATGTTCATCTTTGTTTGCTGGGTGTGATGTCATAATTCCACAGGCCAGAACAAAAACATTCAAAACAACTTTTAGAGTCCCCCTGATACAAGCATGCATTTAATTTATAGTGTTTTTAGTTCTGTTTTTGGATGATTCCAGTCTGCAGTGGGCTATCAGGGAAGGCCGAGGAAGGAAAGCAAGTAAAAGGGAGACCAGGTCAATGGTTGCATAAGCTCACTGATGTGCTATGGGAACAAAAGTTGTTCCATGTTGCCAGGCGGGACTGAAGAGTTCAGCTCAAACTGCTGAAAAGTTTTAAACTGGTTCTGATTAATGCGTTTTCTCCGGGTACTCCTGTGTCTTCTCATGCTATTTGTCAAAGCTCGGTTAAGGGCTGGCCAAAAAGCGACAGTTTTTTTGTATCTTTTAATGCATTTAGAATAACTCTCTCTTAAAAATGACATACTTGTGTGAAAGACTGCTTCTTCAGCTCATATTAAACAGCTAAACTTGTGCATGACATCATTTGTTTAACTTGGTGCAGCAAAAGTCTGCGTGATTAGATGTGTGCTGTGCAGATACAGCGTGCATATGACATAAATAAATAAATAGTACTGAGGCTGCTCCATGTATTAGTTTGCCATTTTATTGAACCTTTATTTTACCAAGAAGAAATCCATTGAGATTATTAATCTCGTGTCCTGCCATGAGTTGAGCTAAACTTTTGGACTGGCTAGATATGCTGATCAGGCTGACTAAAACATTTAGTAGCTTTAGCACCATTGGCACTTTAATCTGTATATCCCCCACACATATTGATGTGGTAACACGAACAATGATGAAAACAACTACAAACTAAACAAAGTGTTGTGGAAAAAATGTAGAAGTTTTATATTATCCAATGTTCTTTCGTCTCGCTATATTGTTGTGGAGAAAAAGTTGTTGCATAAGCCTAAAAAGAACAATTACAAAAACTAATACTCTTTTGGCTAACCTGGACAAAGACTTTTGCTGATTTCTTCATCCTCTGCTCTATGACTGATGTCATAGTTGATAAAGTACTGATAACTATTACATTACCACTTCAGATTTTACGACTCTGTCTTTAAACTTGATTAGTTCGGCTGTCCTTGACGATGCAAACCGACTGCCAGCCAAAAGAGTCTAAAAAGCGTGAGCGTAGCATGGCATCGATAAGTCTACACAGATGGCTGTTTTTGTCAGTGTTAGAAAAAGTTCAAATAAATCACTAAAATCTGAGGTTAAAACTTAATTTTAAGATCTTATCCAATACAAAACGTTTAACAAATGTTTTAAAGAACTACGTTTTGGCATGAAGATAAAGAGCTTTTTCTTCTTTTGTTAGCTCAAGGTACACAAGGAGGAGACGTTTTTGACTTGGTGAAGCTGATTCTTCCCTCCTTAATGTTCGTTCCACTCCTTGCGCTCGTCCTTCTGCTGGTGTGGAAGGTGAGATGACATTTTGTCACTGACACAAAGCTGTATAACTTTATGAGTTGCTCCACATAGTAATTGTATTGTTGGACGATAACACTTTCTTCTGTGGAATTATTATGGCTGGCAGCAGAGGTCATAATGACTGTGTTAAGCTGAGTTGTGTTCATATGAGTTTAAAATTAAAATGAAGTCCCTCGCCCTCATACAGGTCAAATCAAGAAGAAACAGACAGGATCGTTCACAGAATCCTGGAGAAGAACTCTTCACAAGCACAGAAGGGATGACATCTCCACTAAATGCTGAAACACCAGAAAAGTGAGCTTTTTTAAAAGTTGTTGCCCTTTTTTTTTTACAGCTTGTTCTCCAGCAACAGGATGACTGATATTAACATTTGGTATGAATCTGACTGATGGTGGAATCCTGAATCTGGTCTTACTAAGGTTTTTCATCCTCTGAACCTCATAAAACAATCCTTTCTTCTGTTGCCAGATGCTTGTTCAAAGGTAGTTATTAGGTTTCACTCTGTATTCTAGCTACTTGTTTAAAATATTGTAAGATCTTGACCTTTCACTGTGTAAAGCTCCACACTGAAAGACAAACAAAAATAACTCCTAAGAACTGCAGAAAAAATGAAAGAGAAAAGTAGGACAAGAGCTTGATAAAAAACAGGTGTGTTGGAAAGAAGTATGGGCTGTATAAACACCAGTGGAGAAGTGTGAATTTTGCACAAAGGGTGTAAAGAGTTTGTAGTTACATCATGGCGTGTTTTGTTGCTTGAATCATGACAGAAACTGTTTATCTGGACCTTTCAGCTTTAGTTGTTTAGGTTTTGATCCTTATATATATATATATATATATATATATATATATATATATATATATTTATCCCGTACTCATGGAAATAAATGTAAATGTTCTAAATATTGTCATCGATGCATTGAAAAAAATTGTGCTCTGCACCCATCACACATGAGAGACTCCCAAGTGAGCAGCTATTTTTTAAGTGCCCGGAGAGCAGTTGGGGACTATGTGTCTTGCTCAAGGACACCACAACATCTGGGGATTGTGGGGAATCAAATCTGTGACTTTCTGGTTCCAAGTTGGCTACCTTTCCGCAGCTGCCACAGTACTCATTCTTGGTCAAGAGCCAGTTCAACTGTTAGCACTCAGGGCATACTTGGGTTGAGAATTTACATGGTGATCTGGCATTTTTACAAACAGTAATGATTTCAATGTGATTACCCTCATTAAAAACTATACAGCTGGACCTGTTGATTTTATAGCTTAATAAAATGACTTATAAATATCTGCGTCCATCCATCCTTCCATTCATCGATCCATCGATCCATCCATTATCTTTACCCGCTTCTTCCTTTTCAGGTTTCGGGGGTCACTGGTGCCCATAACCAGCAGTCACTAAGTGAGAGGAGGGGTACACCCTGGACAGGTTAGAAGTCAATCACAGGGCCACATAGAGTCAAACGAGACAAACTACCATTCATTCTCTCACTCACACCTAGGGACAATTTAGAATTAACAATCAGTCTAACATGCATGTTTTTGGTCTGTGGGAGGAAACCGGAGGACCTGGAGAAAACCCACACATGCACAGAGAGAACATGCAAACTTCACCCAGATAGGCCCCCAGCCAGGATTCTATCCAGCGGCCTTCTTGCTGATGCAACAGCTCTACCAACTGAGCTACCGTCCCACCCCCTTTTTAAAATCACTTTAGCCAAAAATAAATCAGAACAAGAACAATGTCACTCTGCATTTTAACAACCTTTCACTATGATATAGGAGCCATCAGATTTGAAGCTGATGATTATCCCACCAATCAGCATGGAAGAGGAGAGGTATACCTTTGACATGCTGACAATGCAGGGTCAGCACAGACACATGGGACAGACAACCATGCACACACACACACGCTCATGCCCAAGGTCAATTTAGACTAATAAACCTAAATGTGCATGTTTTGAACTGTCAGAAGAACTTGTAGCACCTGGAGAAAGCCCACATGTGCACATGCAAACTACAAATTAAAAGTCCTATTCAAACATATTTTGCTCTGAAATTAGTGTTAACCACTAAACCAAATTTGTCATTTAACAGCCTTTAACATGCTCTCAAATAACAAGCAAAGCACGAAAAATGCTAGTACTGTACATTGCTGAGTATTGAGAGTAAGATTTGAAGTTATAAAATGAATTACCACCCCACTCAATCGCAACAAAATTGTGTAGCAATCAAGTGATTTCTTAAATGGTGACATTATCACTACAGAAGCACCAGCAACAATAGACGAAAATGTTTTAGGAACAAATCATGTTTTCTGAATCACAAATAAGTACTTGCCATGTCTTGAGAAGTTTTACTGAAGTAATTAACTTTGAAAAAGTAACAAAAAGTGAAAAAAATCTCAAAAGGAAGAAGTGGAGAAATTGTAGTCCCATGAATAGTGTCAAAATTATGTTTTTTCTTATAATCTAACCGTTAATCTCTTAACCAAGATTTGGTATGGGCAAGATGTAGTTAGAACTAGGATTTGGTTGACACAGCTAAGTTAATTTGGGACCCTTTTTTACACTACTTCATATATTTTTTCAATTACTTAAAAAATCAAAACAGATTATGCCAACAAAATAAATAATAAAAATACCCAGTTGACACCTGCAAGAAAGTCCACATTAACAAAATAAAATAAAAGAAAGGATTAGCATTCCTAGCATCACTGGTGGATATATATATACACAATTATTCACATTCTGACTCACACTTAGATTTGTCAGTTACCATAATAAATTATCATAATTGCTATTTTTAACACCCAAAGTAGTACAACTGAAAGTAAGAGAGTCACACACGTGGTTAAATAAAAGGTAAGTGCTTTTATTTACAGGTGATGAAATGGTAGGGATCACAGGAGGATCTGTAGACAATGGATGTTGGTGAGTATAATATTTGATCTTGATAAGTCAGAAGTGAATGAATAGTTTAGCTTACAGTTCTCTTGTTGTCTTGCAGGTACAGAGGGAAGGATGAAAGAATCCAGGATCTGACAAAGCAGAGGTATAGGTGAGTAGCAGGTTTGATGGAGATTGGGCAGGAGGGACTCAAGGCCGACAGGAGTGATGACACTGAGATTTCATTAGGAGTCACAAAGAGATCCAAGGAGGATTTAAACAGCAGGGGGACAGGATGAAAGGCACAATGAAAATTCAAGTTTAGTTATTTCTCACAGAGAGAATTTTTGCTCAAGCTGTAGAATTGTTATGAATCATATCAAATGTTCCAGTGGCGAGAAGATCATTTGACCAGCCTTATATACCCTGGAGATCATAAGCAGGATAGAGAAAACCTGCTGCTTGTTTATCACCGCCCTGCCACTCAGGAAACTGGAAAAACTGCTGGTTTGTGGAACATTCCAGAAACCCCACAGTAGCCCCCACTTCTGCATATCGTGTTGGTGATGAAGGGTGCTTTTTTGGATGGACTCTATAAGATAAGATCAGATAAGATCAGATCAGATAAGATAGAACTTTCTTGATCCCGCAGGAAATTGTTGATAAAAGTCTGTAATGAAACTGGCATCAAGGATGAATGACCTAGGGATCCAAGATCGTTTGTCTGGAACATATCCTTCCTAGTCTGTCCAGTCTACGAGGTATTGGAGGCTGTAACCCCTGCAGCATCCATCTAGATAGCAGCATACAGTGAAGGCCAGTGGGTGATTGTCGAGTCGGGGAGGTGGAGGGAAGTTGGCAGGAGGGCAAAAGACTAGTTTAATTTGAGAGACATGAAACTTTGGATGGATTCTCATAGATGATGGAGTCTGAATGCAGAGTGATTAATGATTTTAGCACTGGGGAATGGACACTAATGAACCTGGGGCCAACTTTCTGAGAGCGTCTTAAATCTGGATGCCATTTATGAAGAGTCATATCTTCAGGCCATCCTGACAGTTGGAAGCTGGGGAGCCGTGTCAGTTGGCAAACATTTATTTTGCTTCACAGTGCACATAAAGGCTTCTTTTGCTTGATGCCATATTTTGGGGCATTGACAGAAATGATGCTGTACAGAGGGAATTGAGATGACAGACTCCTGGCTAGGCAACAACAATGGTGAGTATCCCAGGGAGGTCTCAAAAGGAGAAAGTCCAGTTGCAGATGAAGTGAGTGTATTATGAGCATATTCAGTCCAAGCAAGATGTGTACTCCATGTGGATGAGTTATTGTCATTCATGCACTTTAAAGCTGCCTGCAGCTCCTGGTTACAACATTCAGTCTGACCGTTGGACTGAGGTGGTAGCCAGATGTTAGACTGGAGGAGGCCCCTGAGGCACTACTGCATTCCAAACCTGGGAAAAAAAAAACTGGAGACCACTATCTGAGACATTGTCAATAGGGATGCCATGGATGCAAAAAATTGTGATTAACCAGGAGTTGGTCTGTCTCGAAATCAGTAGGGAGCTTAAGGAAAGGGACAAAATGGATAGCTTTAGAGAATATTATCAATGATAGTGAGGATGACTGCATTACCTTCCAAGGGAGGCAAACCGGAAATGAAGTCCAACACAATGTGGGACCAAGGGCATCCAGGGTTAGGTAAAGGGAACAGGAAGGGAAGTCTGAGGTTGTCATAATTGTATGTTCCCATACAATGGTGAAATTAGTTCTCTGCATTTAACCCATCAGACGTAAGATACACCCAGATAAAGTAGTTGGCCGTTACAGTATGTAAGAACCCAGGGAGCAATTAGGGATTAGGTGTCTTGCTCAGAGACACCATGACATGTGGGAATGGCTGGGAGTCGAATCACAACTTTCTGGTCCCATGTCAGCTGCCCTACCTCTGCCCCATCTCGGCCCCAACCAATAAAGGTTGAAGGAGTCCCACCAGAGGTGGGACTCATGCACTCATGCTTCGTGCTCAGGTAGGGCAGTTGGAAAGGCCACAAAAAGTGCATTCTAGTTAAGGATAACATATGTATGGAACCAGGATAACAAGAGGCATTGGTCTATTCCAGGACCTTCCCTTGACAGGCTCAGGGACAAAGAGTTTATCAAGAGGACCAGTACTAGGGTCAGGTTCATCCTTTTGATCCTCCTTGGCCAACCTCTCATTGTCCCATGTCAATACTCCAACCACGAAGGAAATGGGAATGTTTTCCTCTGCCAAGATGATCAGTGGATGAGGACAGTCAGGTGAGAGAATCGAGTTTAATATTCTTAGACCCTGGCCCATATGTGATAGTAAAGTTAAACCTAGTGAAGAATAGTGACCATCAGACCTGTCATGAGTTCATCCTTTTA